CAGGAGAATACCAATAAGGAAGCTTTGAGTGAATTACAAACAGCTCATGCTTATCTTTCATGATGAAAAACGAGGGTAGCACAGAGAATTGATGTACAAGGGCAAGACCAGATTGCCTTTTAGCTATAGAGTCCATTGCCATGGAATCTTTCATATGAAAACTGATAATTAGACGGAAGGATTAATAGTGGCCCAAAGACCTTTAGAAAGTACATAAACTATACAATTCATTTCTGCGTATTTTAAGAGTGATCAGTTCATAAAGTAATTCAAAGGAAATCAATGACTCCACAGACAGAGGAATAGTATGTTTTCATACAGTCTAGATTTCCCAGGATGGACTCCATTCATATCATTTCATTCTTTTCAATAGAGGGGATTTCTCAAATGTATAACTAAGAGGAATTTCATCTGCATGTCTTTGTAAAACTCTTCATATTCATACATTCATAGGTCACAGCAAATTCTGTGTTGGATCATGTGTCTGAATAAAGATTAGGAAATTATGCTCGCCACACCCACACAGCAACTTTAATTTGCAAGCAAACTAAACTTTGAACTAAAGTCCTTAATGGTCGCTCTAAGACATTTCTGTCACCACCCATTACTTTTTAAAATCCTGTAGAATTTTGTTATAGCTAAAAACTGGAAACAACTTAAAAGTCCTTCAAATGGAGCTGATTGAATAAATGATAGCATACCCTTATTCTATCATACTATTCAGCAGCCTGCTCCCAGAAATAATCAGTTAGCTCTGTATTTTCAGATATGGAACTATCTCCAAAATGTATTATTAAATTTAAAAACACTTGCGAAGACTGTGTATATAACAATTCCAAACATGGAAAAGGAAAAAACTAGAATATTTACCTTTAAACCCAAGGGTTGTTTTTTTCTGCAAGTATACCTAACAATTGTTCACAGCTATTACTTTGGGGGAGAGGCAGTGGGTGTAAAGGATTGTGAAAAAACAGCCATTTTCACTTTGAATATTTATCTTTACGCATTTTTTGCTGTATGTTTCTATTAATTTTGCTTGAAGAGATATATTCATTTTAATGAAGAGTTAAATTAATAAAATAAGTAGTAAAATGATAAATCAATCTAAATTGCAAAAACTTACATTCTTTTTCTGAGAAGCATATTCTTAAGAATGTGTCCTGTGACATAGCAAGGCTAAGCATACCAAGATGGATGGATGGGTGAGGAAATTTGTTGCATGATCATTTGTAACTGTGAAAAATTGAAACAATTTAAATACCAATCAATAGTAGGTTAGTTAAATAAATTATGTTACAGCCCTAAAAATACACTGAAATGTTCTTATGTTTCTGTGATAATGCTGTTAAAATAAATCAAGTTTATAGAACAATATGTATGTATGTAAATTTTATTTCTGTTTTCTTAAGTTATGCATACCCATGAAAATATACACACACAAACATACACGCTTATAAACCCATAGAAAAAGTCTTTAAAATAGACATCTCTATGGAGAGGATGGGGGTTACTTTTTGCCTCAGATACTTTTGTATTTTTTAAGTCTATTTTATTCACAACCATATATATTGCATTTGTAATTTTTAAAAATAAAAAAAAGACTTTAAAACCTCCCCCAAATAAATTCCTAACAACTAGCACCTTTACTGTTACTATTATTTATCACTATGCTAGTTAAATATTCCTGACCCATCTCCAGCTATAGCGAACCTTATTTATTAAATCCAGGTAGGGTTCATGTTTTTTAGCAAATGTTCCCCCAAAGCCTTGTTCTCATGAATATAAATATATACATATATAATTTATGTGTAAATAGATTTATTGAGATTTGCAACCTAGTAATGTGCTCATTAAAATTTATTTTAAAAGATCATAATCCTTCTATGGACCATAAATACTAACTTATTAGGCAAAAGCTAAAACTAGACATGTTGTAATCAGTCATTTATTCACACATTGTCACCCATTTCCTAGATGTCATATGGCCAAGACAGAAGTAAGAGAAATTCCATGGTGTGACAGCTCCTTCAGTGGCGAAGCCCGCAGTGATTCCATCAGGCAGCCTAATTCTCCCAGATGGGTTATCAGCACCAGAAATTTCCTTTGAAGGAAGTTTCTAAGGCCTCATAACCTTTTAGGAATCACAGACTCCCTTGAGATAATCCTACATGGTGTGGGGATCCAAAGAACATGGGTTTTACAATCAGACACATCTTTGTTCAAACCCCAGCTCCACTACTTGCTTGACTGGTGATGTAGGATTGACTTAACCTCTCAGTGAGCCTCGCTTTCTTCATCTAGAACATGCCTGGCACATGGTAAGAACTTAGTAAAAGGGAGTAATTGTCATATTGCTAGAATGGGATGGAAGCTATAGACTCTGTCCTCTGGGAAAAAAATCCACCTTACATTTTTAAGGTATTTTATACAATCTCAAGGACTTTATTCCTTCTAGGACACCATGGCCTTTGGGTTAAGAACACCTATTTGAAAGTTTGGAAAGAACACTTGAAGAAACCTGATAAGTAGAGAGAACATTTTCTACCCTTTTTGCTTGATTGTCATTTTAAGTGTTTTTCTTGTTTGTTGTGTTGGGTGATTTGGGTATTATGCACACAAAGACTCAACCAGACCAGAAGAATGGATTGTATATTAAAAAGTGTACAAGAATGAAGGTGTGGCTCAAGCAGTAGTGCCTGATTTGTAAGAGCAAAGCCCTGAGTTTAATCTCCAGTACCAACAAAAAAAGGTTCAAAAAAGAAATGGGGGTTGTCCACCACTTTCACATATTAGTTAGATTAGTGATTTATCATCCAAATGGTAAAAAATGCCACAATCATTAGCTGGCCAGATTAGGTTTTCCAAGACCTCTAGAAAGCCTGTGTATTTATGAGGACCATACTTTGAGTTCCTTAGATCATAGATAAAGTTACCTTAAACTACATTGTTTGAGCTGCTCCGGCTTAACCTACTAGTCCCCAGCTTAGTGTTGCAATCAGAGCCAGCTAGAATTATTATTTCTCTTCAAAGCCTTGGAAGAGATAAAAAAAAAAGTGGCTTCAGGTAATAGCACAAAGGAATAGCTTTCCTGTTCCTCTGTATTGATCTAATCTTAAAGCAACAAAAAATCCCTTGCAATGGACTGCTGCCATTAATTCAACTAGCATCTGGACTGTTGGTGAAAATATGTCCCCATAGTCTGTGACAGCTCTTTTAGGCTTGGATCTAGCCCCCATTCTCTCCCTAGCTGCCCTGCCACAGAGCCATAAGAACGATAAATAATGTCCCTCTAAGAATGAGTGAGTATTTCAGGAAATAAGAAAAATCCTATTCTGATGCTATTAGCACTGACTACTCAGGACTCAGGACTAATGATGATGGTGGTGGAGAGGGTTGGAGTTGAGGGGAGAATGGAGTTGTTCAGAGAGAAACAATCCTAAATTTCTTTCTCAAAACTTGAGAGAAGGAGCAGAATATATACATAATTCCATGAAGACAGTTTCTTTTAACAAGAACTTCATTCCAAGTAGGTCTTTGCTATCATCATTTTATCACAAGAAAAGTGAATTGGTTTATAAATACCATTCCCCATGAAAAGGAGCCAGGGCTCCTTGGTAAAATGGCTGATTCTTGGGCTGAACAGAAAAAATACAAGATGCGCTTGGAACATCTTGTTGGGCCAGAAAGTAAGGAGGTGTGCAAAAGATGCTGAAACATGTCAAAAGGACACAACAGTTACATTAAAAGGCAAACTCTGGCCAAATCTAGGTCAATTTTAGCATCAAAATAAATAGAAGTAACAGATTGTAACCCACTGACTAAAAATGAGAATCAATGAGTTTATGGTCATAGAAATAAACACATGAAAGAAAGAATGGATGAGTACACTGAAGAAGGGAAAGTTCTTCCTTACATTAAAATGTAAACTAATAAATGTAGAAAAATCACGGAATTTTTTAAACCATTCTTTTGTGACCATCATAGTAGTTAGTGATACAGGCAAGAATCATCAATATATATAAAATTATTGGGTGATAGTTTGATATGAAGAGGATATTTATATAGTCTCCAAATACCTCCCCAGAAATTAATGATTTCAAAGGAAAAAGATAACTTCACAGTGTATTAATCTGACAGTCATCAGAATCAAGTGCTCAAAGTTGTCACAAATAGTGGGACAAATTGGCACAGTGTGTCTACTGATGTCATGCATTGAGAAGACCACAGCCTCACTTCTGTGGTGTTCTTGCCAAAATTCATAACTTGAACCTAACCATGAGGCAATATTAGACAAACCCAAATTAAGGGACTATTTACAAAAAAACTGGACTGTATGGTAGAAATATCTAAGTTATGAAAGACGAAGAAAGACTGGGGGTCTGTTCCAGATTACAGTCTAATGAGACCTGGTAATTAAATGCAATGCATGGTTCTGAATTGAATCTTAGAACAATCCCAAAAATATCTATCAAGGAAATTAGTAGGATAATTGGCTAAATTGGGATATGATCTAGGAATTAGATATTAGGATTGTATAGATGTTACATTTTCTGATTTTGATATTTTAATGAGGTTTAGAGAATTCCTTATGCTTAGGGAACACACACTGAGAAGGTTAGTGGTAAAAAGGAATCATCCTGCTACTTACTTGCAAATGATTCTGGAAAAAATCAGGTGTGTGTGCACATGCATGCACACATTTGCATGAGGAGGAGAAACGAGAGATTAAGATATGGAGAATGATAAAGCAGGTGGATGCAAAAGTCTTGACTATTGGCAATCTGGGTAAAGAGGCTATAAGTATCAGTTTGAAATTATATCAAAATAAAAGGTAAAAGGAAACAGTATTTGCTTTACATTTTAAGAAGTAAATGACAAAACTGTGGCCACTTGGGCTCCTTGAAGAAAGACAGAGCCCTTATCTAGGAGTGGGTCATTTGGAACATCAAGCAGAAGAGTACTGCATGGATGCTAAAGAGAAAAATCCAGAAGGTACTCACAGCAGCGGAGTCTCCTGTCAGGAGTTGGGATGATCTTGTGGACAAGCCAAATATCTTCTTCCCAACTAACTATATTTCCATCCAAACACTTCATAAACTCCTCTTTTTCCAGGACGCGGTCCCAGAGTTGAAAGTAGTACAAGCTGCCAGTAAAGTGAAGTCTCCTGCTTTGAACCTGATTCTCTCTATTCTTGGGAAAGTGTCCTAAGACCAGAGTCCCATTAGGTGTCAGGCTGTGTGGCCGGTCCATTATTACTAGTATCCTTTCTTTATCCAGGAAGAGCTCTAATCTTCCTTTTGCACCATCCCATATCAAGCATACCGTATGCCATTGAAGTGGAGTCAGGCGGCGTCTGATATAAAAGGTCTTGCCCAAGTTGTATAGGATTAGCTGCTGATGGTCCCCTGCAAGTCCAAGATCTATGACTTCTCTGCCCAGGATGGTGCTCTTAGTAATATAGGAGAAGGCCATCCAATAACTTGACTTGTCAACCATGCTCACCAGATCAATGCATACAGTGAATCGGCTGAGCTCAGGAATGGTGTTGGCCAAGCTGACATATGTGTCATGTCTTCCATAAAAATCCAGCTTTTTTCCTTTTAGTGAAAGTGTATCTGTCCAGATTTGGGGAAGGAGGAAAGCGAAAACAAATGAAATTTCAGTCAAAAATGTTTATCATCTTTGGCAGTAGAGTCAAATTGTACAATATAATTACGAGTCAATCCTGATACAAATAAAGAAATAGTAGACAAAAACCAGCTCTATTTGACAATGGCATGTGATTTTTTGGCAGAAGCGTTTCTTCCTAATTATATTTTGCCCAGGCTAATATGAAAAGTTAGATTAGTGTTCCCTGAGTATTATGCCAGCTGGACAGTTTGGAGAGACAGAAGTGTGTGGCTAGTGGGAGGAAGAGGCCAAAGAAAGGCAGCCTGGACTTCAAATTTGCTACACATCATCCTTATGCATGTAATCAAAAGAGAATTATTTCCTCCCACCTAACTGCCTTATTACATTCACGATCAGCAGCAATTTGTTTCTCCATGCCTTTCCCTGAGCCAAATTACCAGACTTAGTCTATCGCTGGAGACTGATTCTTATTGAAAGACACTGACAAAGGCCTGAAGGATGACCAGGGCTGAAGCTCTGAGGTACTACCCTAGTGCATCCTATGCCCTCTCCTCACGAGGGGCCACACTGGCTTTAAAGCCCTCCTAGTGGTCATGGACCCAGTTACTGCTGGCTGCCAGACAGCTGGGGTAGAATCCCAGATCTGACACTTCATCAGCTGCCCAACTTGAAGCCAGTAACTAAACTTCCTCCTAAGACCTCACTGTTTGCTTCAGTAAAATGGGTTTTCAGGGCCACAGTGTTGTGTGTCTGCTGGACAAGAGGGGTCACCATTCACGTGATGAATGTGATAGCCAGATAGCATCTGCTTACTTACAAGAGAATTGGAAGATGAAGTGACATGGTGTCAAAAGTCGTCTCAAGTGTGGCTGAAGGATGTGCCCATTGCTAGTCTTTGGTCACACAACTTGGCAGCATCTATGAACATTTAAATCAAGCATAGTTCCAGTCTCATCAGAACTACTGAAGCTGATACTGTCATTACGACAAACCTCACAGCCCCAGGCTGTGACAGTCAGCCTAGTGACAGTCCCACTATAGCCCTTCTTTGTGGAAGAATGGAAGAGTAACCACCTCCTGGTTTAGGGTTGTAGTGTTGAGACCACCGCTCAGAAACAGAGACAGCCATCGGAGCCCACGACAGAGGCTGACAGGAAGTAACCATTGCCCTGCTCTGACAGATGCCCACAAGTGAGAGCCTCCAGATATTTCCTGGCCACAAAGTGTTCTCTCTCTCCATTGCTCTCCTGAACATCCTCCAACAAGCTCGTGTACATGCTACATACACATACACATACAACCTGCATGTGTGTGCACACACACACCACACTCGTGTACAGAAACTTACACTGCCTACCTACCAGAGTTATTTCTAAGTTGTCCATAGTGGATGGGTGAGGAAATGCTTTTTTCTGTCCTTGGCTTATGTGATTGTGTTATCTTATCATCTTTCATGTGGTTAATAAGCCAACAGTTAATCCCACAAGAAGATAGCCACTATGAAATCCAAGACTCAATTATTGTTGGTTAACATTGCTTTTCTGCTCAGCCCTTCAAAATGATGTCAAATACTACATTTAAGAACTGATTTTGTGGTGGGCATAAATCTGCAGGGCTTACTTGGCTCTTAAAAAATATATTGAGGACTGAGCCCAGTGGAACATGCCTGGAATCCCAGGTACTTGGAGACGGAGATCATGAGGATTGTAGTTTAAGCTCAGTCTGGGCAAAAAGTTAGTGAGAACTCCATTTCAACCAACAAGCTAGGTGTGGTTGTAATCCCAGCTACACAGGAGGCGTAGGTAGCAGGATTATGGTCTGAGGCCAGGCCTAGGCAAAAAGCATGAGACCCTATCTAAATAATTAAAGCAAACTGATGCACAGGTGAAGAAAATGTGGTATATGTACACAATGGAATTTTATTCAGTCATAAAGAAGAATGAAATTATTATTTTTGTTGGAAAATGGGTGGAACTGGAGATCATCGTGTTAAATGAAGTAATCCAGGTTCAGAAAGACAAATATCACATGCTCTCTCTCATACGCAGAATCTAAAATCATACACTTTTTAAGGGAGGAGGGTCATTGTGATAATTCCATAGATGTATACAGTGTCCTTTGAACAAGTTCACCCCCTATTAGATTTCCTTATTATACTCCCTTAATCCCTTCCTCTCTGACCCCTCTTTTCAAGCGGCATTTGGTGGGTTTCATTATGCTGTCTTCGTGTGTGTGTGTGTGTGTGTTGCATGTATGTAACTTACTTCCCCTCTCTTCACACTCTGAACCCCCCTCCTTTTCCTTCCCCACTTCTACAGCTCCCCAAGACAACCCCTCTTATACACTCTCATATGCTGACTCTATGTCAGAATAACCAATGACAAGAGGGCAAAATGGGGGGCTATTTGAGGGTGGGAAGCAGCGTGGGGAGAGTGAAAGGAGGGTGGAGGGGGTGAATAGGATCAAAGTTCTTTACATGCATGGATGAAAACAGACTAATGAAACCTGTTAGAATTTAGCTGGGGGCATAGCTCAAGTGGTACAGTGTGTGCCTAGCAAGCATGAGGTCCTGAATTCAAGCTCCAGTACCACCAAAAACATGTTTTAAGAAGGAAGGAGGGGATAATAAAGCGTGATACATGGTGCGAATTTGATCAAAGTACATTACATGCATGTATGGAAATATTACAATGAAACCCCTTTCTACAATTAATATGCAACAATAAAAAGAGAGAAAAATAACTAAAGCCAAAAAGTGCTAGGGCATGGCTCAAATGGTAGAGCACCTGCCTTGCAAGTGCGAGACGCTGGGTTCAAAAATCCAAGTACCAACAAAAGTAAACAAGATGTCTCATAGTTTCACATGGTCTGTGAAGGCCTCTCATCTCTGCAACGCATGAATACAAAATAAGTTATTAAAGGAACAGAATGATCCATTAACAAAGTCAGAAATAGAAAGGCCAATAATATAAAAAGATGCCACTGCATTGTTGGGGGACTGGGCAGTACTGGGGTTTCAACTCAGGGCTTCATGCTTATTAAGCAGGTGTTCTATTGCTAGAACCACACCTCCAGTCCTTTTTGCTCTGGTTATTTTGGACATAAGGTCTCACTCTTTGCCCAGGCTAGCTTGGACTGCAACCTTACTATCTTAGGCTTCCCATCAGAGCTGGGATGACCGGCACATGCCACCATGCCCGGCTTTTTTCCATTGAGATGGAGGTTCACAAACTTTTTTGCCTGAGCTGGCCTCAAATGACAATCCTTCTGGTCTCAGCTTCCCAAATTGCTAGGATTTACAGGCATGAGGCACCAGCACCTAGCTCTACCTCATAAGTACAAATTAAAACAATAATGTGATGCAATTTTGCCTCCTAGATAGATAGAATTTTAGAGGACTGAAAATACCCAGCATTGGCAAGCCTGTGGGGAAATGAGTCACTTATATGCTGCTGGTGGGAGTGCCAATTAAGTAGCATTTTTAAGAGCAATTTGCCAGTATCTATGAAAATTTTAATTATGTATATACTTTTGACCTAGCATTTCCATCAGTTTACTCTTGATAAAGATATATATATGAACATTTAAGTACAAAGATATTTATTGTAGCATTTTGTCTAATAAAGACCCCAGAGTGCCTGCCATGCAAGCACACAGTCCTGTGTTCAAACTCCAGTACTGAAAAAAAAGGTTACCTTTAGGTGTGAGATTTGAGCTTGGGTGGGGGAGACTTTCTATGTTCCTTATTTTGGTAAATCTACATTTTGAAAACAATCACAGTGTTATATCTATAATCAGAAAAATGAAGAAAGACAGATGGGTAGCTGGATGGATGGATAGGTGGATAGATAGATGATAGATGATAGATGGATGATAGATAGATACAGACATAGACAGAAGGACAGAAGGTAGGAAGGAACACTCACTGCTTTACTTGGGATTGTGTAGACAGAGACAAAGTCTACTTAGACACATTCAGAAGAGCTGTAGCATCTGAAGAGCTGGATTTGTGTCCCAGTTGTCTCTGAGGAACTGTGGGGACATGGGCAGTTAATGCATAGACAGCTCTCAAGACTGGCAGAGAGTGAGCACTATTTAAATGTTCAATAAACTCCCATCGCGCCTTTGTCTCGTTCCTCCATGGTGAGATGGGAGTAGTACTAGCCTGCCTCCCAGGGCCACTACAGATGATGCAATAGCAGCATTTAGGGTACCTGTGTGAGAATGTTTATAAACTGTGGAGTGCCGTGTAAACGTCAGCTGCTGTGTTTGTCAGTATCATCAGTAGGAACCTCTTTCTTCTCCATAGCCTCTCACAGGCAGGTACATCTGTGCTGAGCCCTGCCACAGCCTCCAGTTGGGCTGTGATGAGGCAGACAGGGGTTTGGCCCTTGTCTTGGGCCAGGCAAACAGCCTTCTCTGCATGGCCTCTCAAGGGTCTGCTTCAAAGGCCACTTGTGTCTCTGCCTATCATTTCGCTATCCATTGCAGATGTCTGCTTGGACTCTCCCATCTGTTGCCTGGCAATTTTCAGGTCCAAATTGTCTGATTGCTCCCCTGAAGTGTGTTCTTTCTTGATTCTGGCTCCTGTGTGTCTCTCTTTGCCTCTATCTGCTGTTTCCTTTTATTTCAAATTCCATCGCTTGTTTTCCCTACTTTAAAAAAATAGTAAGAGGCGCTTCAGTCTATTATAAAAGTAATACTGTATGTGGTTTTTGAAAAATAAAAAATGGGAGGCATTAGAAAGCAAAAAAGATGAGAACAAAGTCAGCCAGAAAGTCCTGTCATCCAGAAACAACCACCAGTAACATTTTGGTATTTTTCCTCTGACCGTTTTCTTCTGTGCACACATTTTGCCTGTTTCTCTGTGACTGAGAGCATATTATATGGAAATTTTGGTCCCTTGCCTTTCTCACTTAACATTGTAACATGAGTGCATTCATGCTAAGAACAGCTCACCATAAATCTCATTAAAATGGCTGTG